GGCAGTAGAACACATTTTGTTGAGGACATGGAAAAGATTTCCAGACAAGGAGTTGATGGTTTCTGGGTGGCATTGTAAAGTGCACCCCACTTCCTGCACACCCTCCCTGGGCGTTCTGGGTACAAGCCTTGGCACCTTTGTCCTGTATAATGTAATTCAGGCTCTTGCAGGCTTTAGCAGCACCTGACTACAAGTGTATTATTTGTTTGCTCTGCTGTAATCTCACACAGCCCATTGGAAAGTTCAAATGTGGCAGTCCCGAGTGTATGACCAACATGTTCAGAGGATTCTGACTAGTCTTGTCAGTCACCTGCAATTAGTGCTGTGTTTACCATAAGGCATTATTGGGCTAGTAAAGGTTTAGAGGTGGCAGAACCAGACCTCAAATCTGTTCTAACGTGTCACTTGTTTTGGTTCCGTCTTCTGTCCTCCTCTGGACATATGTTGCTGAATCAATCGAACGTAATACAGAGTGAAGAGGGTGCAGGGGATGTTGGGAGAACGCAGAAGGCTTTACAATTCAAGAAACCTGTGACCTCTCTTTTCTCCTGGAAAGTGGACTGTACAGTTCAATACATAAAAAGCAGAATGCATGCTTCTTCCAACAATACATTCCAACATTGCATTACTAAAATAATCACATTAAGCAAGAGGCAGGGCTTAGAAAAAAAAGGACATTGTTGTTCAGTTGTGTCTAATGCATCATGATATCTAAATTAAGACCTGTCTTTGATGCTTGTATAGTGGTTAGTGAAAACAGGGCATGCTGAGGATTACTTGTGGTGCAGATCTTAGTTATTATTAACACCTGTTCTACTATGTGATCTCGCAAATATTAAATATTTTACCATTTTGAGTAAAATGCAAGATTATTCTTCAGTGCACACATTTACCATATACCACCACACATATACCATTGCAATTTTAAAGAGCTGACCTGACTTTGCATGACTGGATCTGAACTTGTATACACTGCTCATATGATGTACCTGTATATATTACAGCTCCTTACTCTACCATTCACTGAATGACATTAGCGCTGCCAGGTCAGCTCTGTTCTCCCTGCAGCCCCATGTATACTTAGTCTAAAGCTGCATTACCATCAATAACTGTCAAACTGTCTTAGCATCCTTCATAGAGAGTCTACTACCAGTCTACTCCAGAGATGTCTGCCATCTGTGTTGGATTATCTTTTTATTTTCCTTTCCATTGTGTCTTCACAAAACCTCTAGAGCTGCTGTCAGTACGTCCACCTGAAATCTCTGGATACTAAAGCTGTCTCTGTGAATAATATTCACCATAAAACCTCTGAATCTTGGGAGGTTACAAGTTATTTGACTACCTGCTGACTTCTAAATCATTGAATACCTCCTTGCCCCAACAGCACGCAGTCAGAACCTCTTGTCGGTGTGCCTCACCAGTATGGCTGTCACAGCTGATTGATCCATAATTTAACTCCAGTAATTACTTAATCTTAACAGCAGCTTCTCATTTCAGAAGTTATAAATGAACTGGAAGCATCTAATATATAGCACATTCAGTTTGAAGATGCAGAAAACGAGACATTCTTAGTATGTGTAGAATTCGATTTGTCTATAGAAATATCCTTGGTTATTACATGCATGATTGTTGTAAATATAGTGTCCAACGTTGTTTAAGAGCCGTGTATGCGTGTTTTAAACCTACAAATGAATGTGGCCCTTAACCAAAAAATGGTTGCAGATTTAGTCTGTAGGAAAGGAGGACGACAAAATGCAGTGATTTCAATGGAAGTCGTTTGCTCCTGCAGCAACCCTTTGGACAAGTTCAAATGTGGCAACCCTAAGTGAGTGTGACTGTCAATTTAGTGGATCCTGACTAGTCTTCTCAGTTACCATCAATTAGGGCCGTGTTTACGATTACGTGATCTTGTCTTTTGTCTATTGCATCTCTAATGTTCTAATACCTACCACAGATGTCAAAACTGTCACAGCTTGTACAACACTTAAAACATCTTTCTAATAAAAAAAATATTGAACAAGAAAAATCCAATGGGGTGCAGAAGACTGTAGTGGTACAAGAACTACTTTGCTGGAAACTATCTATAACTGATCTAATTTGTATGAACATGTCCTTTATGATTGAGGACTAAATTTGTCAAGTGGTCTCTGCTATCACAACATTAGCTAAACATGGTTTTGTTGAACTCTAGACTTATCCTGCAGTTTGCTGCTAGACCTATCCACCTAACCAACCGCTCAGTATCTGCAACCCCCCTCTGTCAATCCCTTCACTGGCTTCCAATCGCTTAAAGGATAAAATTCAAAATATTAACGACCACTTACAAAGCCATCCACAACTCTGCCAAGGTTACATCACCAACCTTGTCTCAAAGTATCACCCTAACCATCCCCTCCACTTCTCCCAAGACTTCCTGCTCTCTAGCTCCCTCGTCAACTCTTCCCATGCTTGCCTCCAGGACTTCTCTAGAGTCTCTCCCATTCTTTGGAATGCCTTACCCCAACCTGTCCATCTATTTCCCACTCTGACTGCCTTTCGGCGATCACTAAAGACTCATCTCTTTAGAGAAACCTATCACACTTCAAACAACCACTGAACTCTTTCTCAAACATTTCATCCCTACACAGCTTTGTCCTCATGTATCACTTGTCCCTCCCTCTTAGATTGTAAGCCCTCATGGGCACGACCCTCCTTACCATCTTGTCTTGAATTGTATAGTAATTATACTGTCTACTCTGTATTGTAAAGCGCTGCGCAAACTGTTGGCTCTATATCAATCCTGTATAATAATAATAATAACTCTAGGATGATGTATCTTGGTTTGTGCATTATTTTTAATCATTTTAGTCAGAAAGATGCACATACATATTAACACTCTTCTACTAGAGCCACTAGCCAAAATTGGCTTCTCTGTTGACCTTGCATGCCAATAAAACTGGACATGCATCTGCTGCAGATTTTGATTGGTTGTGCCAGTGCTGATGCTATGATGGACATTGTTATGAATGAACTACACAACAAGTGCAACTGCAGTCCATGCGGCATGTGACAGCTTCAAGTAGGATAGACTATCTTGGGTGGTCATCAAGCGGCAGGGTCCTCAATAAGAAGCCCAGCTTTTGCAGACATTGTAATGAAGAATGAGTGATGTGACCTATGACAGTATTAGAAACATTTTATGGACACTTACATATGAGTCTCTTTCTGCACCGACAATATTTCAATGAAAACTGAGCATGAGGAAACTTTTTAAATCCCGCTGATTGTCCAAGAGTGAGCTGTATAACAATACAAAATTGTAAAATGCTTCAAAGTGTAAGCATTTTCTGCATCTGAGTAATAACAGCTTACAGTTAATGACTGACTGATGTTTATTATAAAACAATGGCTTGAATGTAAGTGTCTGGATTCTTTTCAATGCAGAAAGGGTATCTGGAAACATCCAGCTGCCCAGCACTAAATCCCTAAGTCTGAATGCTTCACTAAAATAGAATTTTAAGAGTAGCACAGTTTTAAAGATTGATGAGAAAAATCTGCTCCACCATGCAGCCTGCCATTAAAAAAAGGGGATTTAAAGGAATAAGGCAGTTTTCATCAAAATATGCCTGAAACAATATTTAAACAGTATGGTTTACTACTAATATATTTGTTTTCGCTGTAGACCATCTAATTGTGTGAAATATGTCGGAGGCAATTAAGCTCCTACATCCTTCACAAGTGCATTACTTTGAACATTTCTGTTAAATTCTGCCTGCAGCACATCCTTTCCTTGTAAAGAGAATGGGCCAAATTCTGCTGTTTACATCAGTGTAGAGAACTGGTGATGGCAGAGGGATGTATTGGCCCTTAGAGAGGTTCTGGGAGGACCCTAGATATCAACAACTAAATGAAACCTCAACTTCAAAATAACTATCTTGCAAGCCTAGCCATTGTGTATATTCTATACCAACTGTGTATATATTATAGGAAATATTTTCTTAATATTCATGTTTCTATCATTGTATTACTATATAAGAATTTTTTTTTATGCTGATATTCCACAAACAATTTTTTTATTTTATATATAGATATAAATATATCTATATATACCGTATTTTTTGCTCCATAAGACGTGCTTTTCCCCCCCAAAAGGGGGGCAAAAATGTCTGTGCGTCTTATGGAGCCCGGGACATGCAGTTTCGGGTGCCGGGCAAGTAGTTTTTTTGTACATTTAGCCCTGCTCCTGACAAGCAGAGCTAAATGTACAGTAGGAGCCGCTGCTCGTTTAATACAAGTGATCTAATCAGATCACTTGTATCAAATCGAGCGGTGGCGGCGATCGTGTCCGGGACCCTCCTGCCGTGGTTTTTGGGGTACCCCGCTCCTCAGGGGGACCCGTGACCACGGCATAGGAGCTCACCATAGAACCCGTAGAGCAGACGAAGAATGTCCGTTCTTCGTCTGCTTTGTGTGATCACTGAGACTCTCAGCTGTCACTAACTGCAGCTGTCACAGAACCCTACCCTCCCTGCGTCCTATGGTCAGGTGCGCCTTATGGAGCGCAAAATATGGTATGTTATTTACCTTTTTTTTTTACATTAAATATATGACAAAGAATCCCCAGAGCACTAGAAGTTATCTAAAATGGTATGAAACATGACAGATCCAATTGAAAACGGCAGTAGTGAGGGAAAAGGAGTGCTTTGTCTTTGCTTTTACCCCTTTAACTTATGTATGTGTGTAAATTTAAACTTATTGCGTTATTGAGCTCTGCATAATTCTGGCAAAGCAGAAGAGACCTGGGAAACATATAAAAAGTAGCTCTTCCTACTGACTGCATGAGAAGAAATAAAATAGTCAAATGCACTATTGTACAAATTATATCTCTCTCATTGTACCTCTGCGGCTTCATGTTCTGTTTACGTATATTTTCCAATTTGAAGTTGGTCTTCAATGTCTCTGTGCGCTGACGTGTGCCAGACACATGGCTTGTACTAACACATGTTCATCTCTACATCTAGGTCCAGTGGGTGTTGGATTAAATGAACTGAAGAGGAAAGTTTTGATCAGTGACACCCAGCATTATGGAGTAACAGTACCACGTAAGTGCTTACCTTGTGTTTTCTGTTTAGTTTAGCTTATTTAAAGGGAATGTCATGAATCTTTTTTGATTTTTAGATATACATGTGAAAGTGATCAGCTTGATGGGAATAATCTCCTCAATGCGTGCTAATGTTTAAAAAAACAATTCCGTATATTGTTTGCAGTTGTTTACGTACATATATAGATTACATAGAATCTGCTCTCTATGCTACTGTATATAATGGTTGTGCTTTACTGCTCCTTCTCACAATGCAAGTCTATGAACTAGCCACCTTACTGGAAAAGAAGCATTCCATGTGTGGATGATATCATATCTCAACAACTGTTAAACAATTAGGATGAGTGATTTTAGAAGTTATTCTACCCTGCCTCTAGTGAATAATCTGCAAATCTGTAGATTTACTACAATAATAAAAATATTTATAGGGTTAGTTCACTTTCAGGCAAATTTCCAACAAAATTTGCCGTACATTCCAGCATCCTCAGCACATTACACACCACTGTTTAGCTTTTAAAAAAGGTGCACCTTTTTGCTTTCTAGACCTGTAGGCCGCACACAGCCTTTCCACAGAAACTCCTAGGCAAGCGACCCTAAACTGCAGAACGGGACGGACAAGACAAGCGTCTCCCCAGCATGTGCAGTGCAATGTCTCTCCAAGTGCAGTAGCTGAGTTCAGCCTTGAGCGAAGGAAAGAGAGAGAGAGAGCGCACTGTGCATTTACGGTTTTTGAATAAGTCAGCACACTCCTTCCTTCTGTGTTGGTGGCAAGCTTCTAACATCCGACGCATGGGGTCACCTACCAAGCAGTTTTTGCAGAATGCAAAAAGAGCACATTTTTTAAAAAGCTGGACACTGGTCTGCAATGTGCCTGGGATGCTGGAATGCTTGGGGGATTTTTTTGAAAATGTGCCTAACCCTTTAATGGTGAACAAATAAATTGTAAAGTCAAAAAGATAGTTAAAGATAAACACTGCCATATAAAACTCACAATATGTACTCAATTAAAATTGATGGCACTTAATAACTGCATCAATAGGACAACTTCTGATGGGTAGCACGATTGCTTTTGGAATTGGATAAAATGGAAAGTAAGTGTTGTCCTTAGCAAACTCTCTATATGTCACCAAGACATCTGCTTGGCATTGTTGGATTCTGGCTTCCAGAATATTGCTCTTTTGTACTGACAGAGAGGATACTAGGGTGCCCTGAAGGTGAAGACTGAAGAACCTAGAAATACTGGGGCCTTATGTTGGACGAACTTGTATGGAGATGTTTGTTCATATAGGTGTTGCTATGGGAGGTTTGTTTTAAATCACACATATCATTTACAAGGATGGTGATAGGGAAGGTAGACCATGTACCCATCTTCATTTATTTGACAAGGTTTTGCCTCATCATGCCTCTGTCATGGGTAATTGGTAGAGTAGGCTCAGCTTAATGTTTAAAATGCAAAACTCACACTCATTGGAGCTCCTTGAGGGCAGGGACTGATGTGAATATGCAACTATGTAAAGCGCTGCATAAAATTGTTGGCGCTATATAAAAACCTGTAATCAATAAATAAACCAGAGAGCTCAAGCTCTAAACCGTATGGGGTTGTGTCCCAAATCTAATAAACCTTCACAAATAACAGCACTGATGTCCCCAAACATGCTTTCTTACAGGATATTGGTTTTTTTGGACGCTATTCAGGCATTGAACACAGTAGACTACAGCAGGTCGCTCAAAATCAATTTTTGATTGGTTGCGGCAACTGTACATTATAAAGTGATTGGACTACATTCTGTTACTGATCAAAAATTGTTTACAGCCCCTTATTTACATGTGCAGCAATGGGGTGGTGCTAACAGGCTGTTGATCCACATTTTTGTCTCCTCCACCAACCCCCAGCCCCCATACCACCCTTCTAAATGCTAACATGGCCACTGCTCGGGTTCATACGCTTGTCACAGGCCAGCTTCGCAACCATGTCAAATTTCCAGACATGTCCACTGAAATTAATGGGACTGCACAGCAGCCATGTGCCAACTGCTTAAAATGCGACTGCGATGCAGTATTCCAATGCAGAATACCCCTTGGGTTTAAAAAAAAAAAAAGCAGGCATTTATGTGGCAGCAATATAACCTCCTGAGCATCTTCAAACAGCAGCTCAACTTCTCTCTGAAAAGCGATCCACCACAGATTGCTTTGCAGAGGGTGGTAAAAATCCGCCTGGCTCGTGTAAATGAGGCCTAAATGGGCAGTGTGTATTGTTCACAGCAGCCAATTTAATAATGCGATACCTGATGTGTTTTTTTTATATAATTCGGTTTTAAAAATTATACAGATCCCAGTTGCTGTGGGAACAACGACACCTGTTTTCATTCCAGTTCTATAAAAGTTCTAATTGAATAAACCCAGATACAAGGAATCACTAAGGCTTGGTTCACACCTGGGCATTTTACAGCGCGTTCCTACGCGCTGTAAAACACTCAACATGTGAAAACCAATAATTGCCTATGGGCATGGTTCCTACGCGCTGTAAAACGCCCTACGCCCAAAGAAGTACAGGAGCTTCTTTGGGGCGTTTTTCCACGTGTTTCCATTGGTATTTCCGAGTGTGGATCGGGGTTACCGCTTTGTTAACCCCGAGCCACACTCGGGAATACAGCGTACAGGTCTTACCTTGTCCGCGATCCCCACTGTGTCCTCCGGCGGCAGCCGACTTCCGGGTTCCGTCCCTTGCGAGCGGCCACATCGCAGGGGGGCGGAGGCGGTGGGAAGTTTTGAAAGTGGAAAAAAAATATTTTTTTTTTAAATAGAGAAAATAAGGGAAAAAAATCAACAACAAAAATCATACCGCCAGTGAAACGCGCGTTTCACGGAACCGAAAAACGTGCTAAAAAACGCAAATAAAACGAGCTGAAAAAATACACTCAGGTGTGAACCCAGCCTAAGTGAACTGCATCTTCATGTCAAATATGCCCATACACACCATTCAACATAAAACGTGAAAGAAACTGTATCCAATATCATGTACCACCCAGCTTAGTGCAAGTAGCTGGAGCCCTCCTAGATATTTACCGCAATGCTTGTACAGGATACTCCACATTCTTGTGGGCACAAGTCATTTTGAGTGATTTTGTGGTCTGCAGTGAACAACAAGTAAAGTGTGTTTCCATATTTCCACTAATTGCTGGGTGGTGTGCTTAATTTGATAGTCACTTCCTCCTCGGCTCTCGGATCCCGTTCTGTGATGTGTATGTCGGTAAGACTGATGGCGTGCCAGTTTTTCTGCTATTATGTCTCTGTGTGTCATGTTTATGTGCACACAAGTGTGTAGCCGTGATAGCCAAGTGTCAAAAGAAATAAAGCGGACATGAAAGTAGTTTTTTTTTATACAAAACAATGCAATAACTGAAACATGTAAAAGGACTTGGCTGTAATCTGAAAACCTTGTAACCCCTTAAGTGCACTTTCAGTTATTTCTATAAAGAATGCTCTAGGGTAGGGTAGCCAAACTTTGGCCCTCCAGCTGTGGTGAATCTTCAAATCCCATAGGGCATTGCAACTTGGATTTCCAGAGGCAGATATATGATGGATGTTGTAGTTTAACCACAGCTGGAGGGCTGAAGTTTGGCTATCCTTTCTCTAGGGCAATGCTTCACAACCTGTGTAACCTCAGGACCCACATTTGTCCTTGTTCATTAAGTCGCAACCCAAGTCGCACCACACTGAAATGCACGGCATTGCAGTTTTACGCGTTCCACTGTGGGCAATCGGACTGTGGGCGATGCGTTTGGGGTGCTGGCAGACACACACAACCACAATCTCACACACTCACAATCTCACGGACATTCTCAAACATACATACACACTCCAAAAAATATATTTATTTATTTTCCTTTGTTTTTAAGATCTACACAGTCTCCTGCCTTACGAGAACTGGAGTGGATGCTCTGCCTGGGGTCCAGTGTGGGATGCTGTGCTGTTGAGAAGTTCCATCCTAATGTGCATTGCTTGTACAGCTCCCTTGCAGGCACTGTAGAGGTACCAGAATGTGACATCACTTCAGTCCAGGCACCTCTGTAGGGCACGCGAGGGAGCTGTAAGCAATGCACATATAAATGGAGCTCCCTCGCGGCCATACCCCCAGCCCACCCCACCTCACCTCAAGGTGACACTCAGCGCCATGCCGCATATTTTGAATGGCTGCTCAGCAGGATAACTGACAGTGCTGCAGTAGTGGAAAGCTCTGGCGGAACTGTCATTATGGTGTTTTTGGCCTTCTAGTGGATTCTTCATAAGAATATATAGAGATTTCTCTATAGTAGAGCTAAAACATTGGTACTGCTAGTATATGGGTTATCAGATGGTTAGTGTTAAGTACCAAACATCTCATGAGAGCATCACTTTTCTTACTTTCTTGGGATTTTTTTTGTATTACATTGGAAGAGTGGCTTCAGGATTGAAACATTGAATTTCACTGCTCAGTTCTGTAGGCCTCCTGGTGGAAGCAAGATCTTCAGTTGGTTAGCCTGTGTTTGCAGTGAATTTGCAGGTGCTACATTAGTTAGAGATAATTGATCACGACTCTGTTACTCTGACTCTTTTAACACTACAAGCAGAGAACTCACTAAAATAAAACAGAAATACAGAATTTTAGCTAATTATTTAAAATGTAAACATGGTAGCATGTACCTGCTCTCACATAGATTAATGACCTTCAAAGTGACTCACAGCAAGCTTGTCAAATGCAACACAAATGTCCACAAACACTTTTCATATACATCATTGATATTATCATAGCAGTTGTTCATCCAGGATGCTGATTGTAATATCTAATATAAAGATATCCACAAGAATGCTTACCTGTAACAAAAATGTAACACAAGTAAAACCGATTACAACAAGGTGTAGGCAGGTGTAGTGGACCGATCCGCACCCTCGTTGCGGATTGCTCGGTGAGCCTTGAATTGGTTTGGGGCATTGCCCCCGAACCATGCCCATGCTCCAGCA